TAGAGCGAACAGCAGAACTTAGAGAGGATATTTGAAGAAACTGAGGTACCAATGCCATGAATGTTGATGCCTTCAAAGCGAATTTGACGAATGGCGAGGAACTAGAGCAGAGTTTGGACTTTAGAGTTTCTTCAAAATCCCTAGCTTTTTCAAGTTCACAATCCTCTGTGCACAAGACTTTGTTACATGGATTTTTCCACTGTAAACGTGCCACGTGTATATGCATGTTGGCTTTTCAAATTTACTATACCATTTAATAAACCAAACCGAATCAGAGTCAAATTGAGGAGGATACAATTACGATTTTAGCGGTTAATTAAAAATTCTTTCTCGTTTGCAGCAAAGTTCATTGCTAAAAAACAAACAATCAAATCAACAAATTACTTAACAACAGAAGTAAATCCAAAACTGTGGATGTTAAATCCCCAAAACTATTTATTCATTGGAATATCTTTCTCTTTTATTCTTGCCAATAATAGACCTAAATGTAGCTTAGCCTCTGTCTTACAAACTCGAGTGTTTTAAGCGCAAAACACACAAAAAGGAAAACCAAGCTGTTCTATTCAGAGCAATATCATGTACAAAAGATGCAAAACAAAACAGTTCTCATGTTGAGGCAACAAACTCTTGTTTGTTCAAACGAACTTGACCTGGACTTTGCATTTGGATGAAGCTCTCGGGAGCATTAGGAGATCCGCCAAGATCTGCAGCTTATTGTCAACTCTTTTTTCCTCAACATGAACTTCCAACAGCACCAGACACAGCAAATTCTCCAAGACATGCTTTATCTGCACCATTTCTCCGATCTGTCCACTGAAATGGGTTATCTTTAGGATCTCAATATGGCAGGACAAAAAGTAGGAATACCCCTCCAAGCATTGGCAAACAGATGTTAAATGATAGTCTTGATAGTAGTGCAAAGCCTGCAAAAAGACGGGAATTTTGAGACTGAAGATTTTCTGAGTCCAATGAACTTTTGGGGTTTTTGGTCATACCTCAATGGTGAGAGTCTTTAGATTTGGAGAACTTTTAAGAAGAATATACAGAGCATCCCAACAGATAGCTGGATCAGTACTAACTGATAAATGAAACAGGTTCTCAAACACTGGGACTGCTTCCCTGAAGGCCCAAAACAGCTGGAACAGAATTGAAAAAAAACAACAACTAGTCAGTCATAACTTCAATAAACATTCTAACGTCTAGAAAGATTTTTGATTTTAATATCTCAGTGGAGTAACAGATTAAAGAGAACACTTACCTGCATCGTGTCAACAGCTCCTAAGCGCAGAATCTGAATATTTTTTAACCCCTTTATCAGATTTCTAACATCATACGACTCCCCAATATAAAGAGGAGGAAGTTCTAGCTTAGCTTCAACAAGGGAGTTGAGATAAACAACTGGATACCTATCTCGGAGAACATCAAAGTATTCAAAGTATTCAAGACTCGGAGTATACAAACTGAAAGGCTCAAAACTATTGCCATTATGAACCCATTCTTCACGCCGAATAGTAAGTCTCTTAAGGATCTGACTAGATACAATGCGAGACCATTTCCAATCTTCACAGTTGTGGCCATCTATGACTAACTCCTCGAGCACAGGGCAAGCAGAAAGAAGCCTTGTAAACGAACAACCACCAGTATTATCGAATTCGAACCGAACTGAATCAAGAAGGAGAGTCTTCAGAGCAGGAAGCAAAGCATTCTTAGGGAGAATGTCAATAACAAAACCAGACCCTAGTTTCAGTTTCACAACGCTCTTGCAAGTGAAGATCTCAAAAGGCAGTGAGTAATCTCCTTTGACATTGATGTCCAGTTCAAGATCCAAGACACCACACCCCAACACTTGGCGTAAACAATCGTTGACAATACTATACTGAGAAAAATCCAAAGACTGCAACTTTAGAGAGAATCTCCTCATACGGTGACTGGCACGTCGAGCCAATTGTATTCGATCAGCAAAATCTTGGAAACTTCCACTAATGGCAGAAAAGGAGGAATCAACAACAAGCGGTATGATATTAACCAGATTCAGCCATTTCTTGGAGGCATACTTCAAGCAAGTAGCTTCTTTTGCCGAAAGGAAAGAGATTAGATGATACTTAAGTTCAATTGGTAAATTACTGATTCTATCCATTCTTTTCGCAAACCCTAAAGAACCCTCTTTCACTACCCAGAAAACCTCAATTTCTAATGGAACCTTCAGCGAATTGACTCCAACATCAACCGCAATTGACAAACTATATCAATTTCAAAGCATACGAGAGCTTACTTCACATGTCGAAATGAAGCAGAAACCCAGAAATCATCGCAGTCGCGTTTATGCAGAAACAAGAAAACCGAAGCGAAATCTGCAGAAATTGGGTAGACGACGACTCAATCTGCAGAAAGATTTCTGAAGCGAAACTGAATCTTCAAAGAGAAATTGACGAAGAACTAGAGCAGAGTCGTAGCATTTTCTTGAAAGCAGAGAAAACAAAGGAAGACGACAAGAGAAATTTTGAATTTTTATTATTCGATCAATTTTGCTCTTTTTTATACTCGGATACAAAAACAAAGCATTTAGCTTTAAAGCCAATCATTTTGCGCCAGCTGTAATCAGCTACTCCCAACGCAAATTCCGGTTTAGTTTAGGTTTAAATTAAGTATTAACCAAATCAAAAATTCTTTAACTCCTTTTCATTTTAGCAATGTTGAACACACGATTCATAACCGTTTTTATGATTATATATAAAACGACAGTTAATTATCACCAAAGCCTATCATACTAGTTATCTACACGAAGCTCTCACCCTAAACAAGTAAACAGAGTTCAGAAGTTAGCTCGGGGGCTTACAAAAACTCGACTGTTTCACGAAAAAAATAAATTATACAACAGCCACTTAGAGGTACGAAGGTGCAAAGCTGTTTGTATCAAAGTTTGTACGTAAAAGATTGAAAAATAAAAACACAAACTTTCTTATGCCAAACAGAGTTTTACCTAATTTTGCTGAATTAACGAACAAAAAGACTCAAGCCAATCTAGGAAACGACCTCGAATTTGCACTTGGACGAAGCTCTGGGTAGCCTTTGAAGATCTGCTATGAGTTTCAGCTTTCTTTCACCAGTTGCTTGAGAATGTATTTCCACGAGCTCAAGACATAACAATTTCTCCAAGAAATGTTTCATTTGCATCAATTCTCTAAAGCAACCATAGTACTCGGTTATCTTTAGGACTTCCAAAGGACATGATACTAGGAAAGAATACTCTGCCACGCACTCGCAAACAATATCTCCTGCACAACGATAGTAACTCTCATAGTGCAACTGTGCAAGGGACCCTGAAACAAGACGCAGAAGACTTGAGATTCAAGGTTATATATGAGTATCTAATGAACTTTTGGGATTGCACTCATACGTACGTTGATGTTGAGAGTCTTTAGATTTGGAGCTTTCTTGATCAGCATTGGCATAGAAGACCAACAGAAGTTAGAGAGGTTAACAGTTAAATGAGACAGCTTCTCAAACACTGGGAGTGCTTCACGGAAGACATAGAACATCTGAAACATATACATAAGAAAACCAACCAATTACAGTATTAGAAACATAAGAACTACCTAGCAAGATTTTGATTCTTATACGTCAAATAATAAATGTTCCAAAATGTATAGCATTTTTAGAAAAGTAGTTGTAAAATTTTAAAGAGAGTGAAAACGATACCTTTGCAGTCATGATAGTGTACAAGTTAAGAGTCTCGACATTTTTTAGCCCATGAAGCAGATTCATTGGATTGAAACGTTTTTCATCTCCTTCACCCCACATATAATTTTCTTCCGGACAAAGATAGAGCTTAGTCTCAACAAGGGAGTCGAGATTAACACTTAGATACTCTTTAGGAACATAATCAGAGTAATATAAGTAGGCAAGACTCGGAGTATCAAAACTAATGCTATTAAAATCAGAATCATCAAAAGCATCCCACTGTTTACGCATTATAGTAAGTCTCTTAAGGCTAGAACGAGACACAGTGCGGGACCATTTCCAAAGTTCCCAGTTTACACCACACACGGTTAGTTCCTCGAGCACAGGAGACGCATCAAGAAGCGTTTTGAACGCACAACGACCAAACTCATAGAACCGAATGTAATAAAGAGAGAGAGTCTTGAGCGCTGGAAGAAGAGCATTCTCGGGGAGAATGTCAATAGCAAAACTAGACCCTAGTGAAAGTTTAGTAATTGTCTCGCAAGTGAAAACTTCGAAAGGCAGTGTATATCCTTGTTTTCCATTTATCCACAGATAAAGATCCACGACCCCACGCTTGAGCACATCACGTAGACAACGATTGATTTGATCAAACTTACTTGGGACTCCCTTTGGTAACCAAACGCCTCTCCAGCACTGATTGCCTACCACTACTTGAACAAATCAGGAAAAGAATCACGTCCTGGACGTCTCGTTTTCTCTCTTACGCAGGAAGATTAAATCTTATTAGCTCAGTCCTTTGGAGCATATGCAACTTCTGGCTAGCGGCTTTTCGACTACCACGAAATTGTATACGAGAACTGGACAAAATGTGCTATGCGTTCCTTTGGTCCGGTACTGAAATGAGTTCGACAAAAGCAAAGATTTCGTGGGATATAGTTTGTAAACCAAAGGAGGAGGGAGGTCTTGGTTTGCGTTCTTTGAAAGAGGCTAATGATGTGTGCTGTCTCAAGCTTGTGTGGAGAATAGTCTCGCATAGCAAGTCTCTTTGGGTTACGTGGCTAGAAAAAAATATGCTAAAAAATGCTTCTTTCTGGGTAATAAAACAGACCGCGAGCCTAGGCTCATGGATTTGGAAAAAGTTACTTAAATACAGAGAGGTTGCTAAGTCTTTATGCAAAGTTGAAGTGGGAAATGGCGAGCTAACATCCTTTTGGTATGACAGTTGGTCACCGCTGGGCAGGCTGATTGATGTTACAGGGGAACGTGGCCTCATAGACATGGGGATTGGCCGGAGAATGAATCTGGTGGAGGCATGGACTCACCATCGCCGGAGACGCCACCGAACAGAGTGTCTAAATCAGATTGAGGATGCTTTAGCTGTAGCCCGGAACAAAAGAACAGCAGCAGAGGATAAGGTGATGTGGAAAAGGCAAAAAGATGTTTTCAATGCCAAATTCTCAACCAAGGAAACATGGCACTGCATTCGAACTTTAACAAGCAAAGTTCCATGGTACAAAGGCGTATGGTTCACTCACTCTACGCCTAAGTACTCTTTCTGCACTTGGCTTGCAGCCCACGGAAGGCTATCAACGGGAGACCGTATGCTCAAGTGGAAGGCGGATGCTTCATCCGTCGATTGTATTTTCTGCCAACATCCAATAGAAACAAGAGACCACTTATTTTTCTCTTGTGTCTATTCTTCAGAAATATGGGCAGCTCTTGCAAAGGGAGTATTTAAACAAAGATACACATCAGATTGGGGCTTGCTTCTGGACTACATTTCAACAGCTCAACCAAATCGTGTGGAACAATACCTACAACGCTACGTCTTCCAAGTTGTTGTCTATACCTTGTGGAGAGAAAGAAACTGCCGGCGGCATGGAGAGCAACCGAACTCAGCGGCACAATTGATCGCATGGACTGATAAGCAAATCCGGTACCAACTATCTTCAATCCGTCAAGCTGGAGATAGGCGCTATGAGGAGGGGCTTCAACTTTGGTTCAAATCGAGAAGTTAATCTTTCTGTTTCTTGAACATTTTCAGATTTAAGTTTTTAAACACACGCTGCATTTGATGTAAAAACGTTTATTTTCTTTTGAATATAATTTAACATTACATTCAAAAAAAAAATGTTTCAACCCATGATGTATACTACAGTAACAACTTTATTTTGCAAAAAAAAAAAAAAACAAGATTTAGATTTTGGATATTGGATCATGTTGTAGTTTGCATTTAATTTATTACAAGTCTTGCTTGATAAACACATATATCTTAATTGAATCCAATTTTTTAATCCATTTTTGAAACAAGTACTTTGTCCTTTAATTTGTTTGGGATATGAGGTTCTTGGGGTTTCTTTTTAGTACAAAAGTTCCGATGTTTGGAGTCGGAAAGTGATCAAGGATGAAGAGTTTGTCACTCTTGTGAATGAATTTCTTAAATGATGATTCATAACCCATAATAGTATTAACTATACTAGTGGCAGTTTATTCTTTAAAAAAATAAAGTTTTATATTTTGGATATTGGATCATGTCGTAGTTTGTATTTATAACTCAGCTAATCAAATTAGACGTTTTCATTTAGTGGGTTCATAAACTCGTACATGAAATTATAATTTATCTACGATTAGCATAATCTAAATTTAAGGTCTAAACAACTACGATACTCAACTTTCATAGGCAACAACGCAATTTTAGTACGTAACAACGCGTCTAATTATGAAACAAAGAGTAGAACCTAGATTCCAATCATGCCGCCGATCTGCCGTAATGTTTTAGGAAACTCTAGGAGGTGGTACTAAGGCGTTCTCGGTGACTCACGGAGGTGGTTCTCGTGGGGCGTTCTCGGTGACTCGCAGAGGTGGTACTAGGGCGTTCTCAGTGACTCGCGGAGGCACGTGGTTCTAGTGGTAGTAGAAATTTTATGAGTGGTCCATATTGGAAGGCTACTAAATGCAATATAGCTGAAGTGATAAGTGAAGTTTGTCAACGGTTTATTATAGAAATCCGAACCAAATTTGTTAGCAAAGCCGTAGACATAATGATAATGTTTGTTTTCGGCATTTTTCTCAAAGAATATAAGAGAACCATGAAACTTGTTGAAGCGCTACATTCTGACGTTAATCACTTGAAGTCTTACTATAACATCATTTTATCACACGTAACCAAAGATGCTTTCCATGGATACTTTGGTATATATGGAAAAGCCGTAATAGATTTGTATTCGAAAACATTAGGGAGCCTCCCCTCGAGATTCTAAATTTGGCCTTAAAAGAAGCATCGGTCTGGAAACAAACCTTTTTGAATGTTATATATCAAATTCTGAGGCTCTTGAACGCCCGCTTCTGAACCTCTCCCCTCATCCTCAGACATCGGAATGCCAGGTGGATGCCTCATGGCACTTAGAGGATACCTTAAGCGGACATGGATGGGTATTAGTTGATCAAGATCGGATCCTTCATCTCGGTCTCAAGAGTTCGAGGAAAAGTCTTTCACCGCTCCATGCGGAAGTGGATTCTTTGTTGTGGGCAATGAAATGTTTGATCTCTCTAGGAGTCACCTCTGGCGCCTTCGCAACAGATTGCTCCGACATGATATCACTTCTCGATAATCAAGAAGATTGGCCAACTTGTGCAGCAGAATTGGCCTCTTTCCGGTCTCTTCATTGTTTTTTCCCTTCTTTTAGTATTCGTTTTCTTCCTCGTAGTTTTAATACTCGAGCTGACTGTTTAGCGAAAAAAGCTCGGGCTCGAAAGAGCCTCTTTTCCCATGTAAGCAACTCGGTTCCTGAATGGCTCTCCCGAGCGGAGAGTCTATCTTTCCGATAACTTAATATAAATGGTGTTTGATGGAAAAAAAAAAAAAAAAAAAAAAAACCAAAGATGCTATTGATGATACTCCCTCCACCATTTCCACCACCCCCAAGCCCTAGAAGAAAGGATTTTAGGACTTTTATTAGTAATGGATAAAACATTAAGTGTCTATTTTTTACTTTTGTTAGTATTAATTAATTGTTGAAGAGAAAATCAAGTAACAAACGAAGAAGATGACGAAAGATTATGTTATTTCTCTTAAATGTTGATTACAATGAGAGTCTCTATTCATAGTGGAGTATTCCAGTCTGGGCCGGTCCTTGACATTATATGGCCTAAAGCATGCTTAAACTATGTGGACTTCTTATACTAATGATAAAAAAAATTAACATTAAAACATTAGAATTTTTTTTAAAATCATCAGATATCGTTGATGAAAAAAAACATTAAATATATTAACAACGTAAGACAATCTAATTTATTTCCGCTCACAAAAATAAACTTTTCTAATCTTTTCTTCAGCAAATTCAGTGATTAGTTAGGTTTTCATAGTCGAGTAATAATAGATTAAATCAGAAATTTATATACAGAAATGTAATTGTTGTCATTTTCGTGATCGTGATTCGTAAACATAGATATTGAATCTCACAGTTATATATTGTATTGAATCTCACAGTTATGCTAGTAATTAGTTCTGTTGTTCTTACGAAAATGATTAGCATGAGCACTTTAGCAAATAAAATCTATTAAAAAAAACTGGAAGGAAGAGAAGAATACAGAGATAATTAAAGAGAGAAGCTCGAAATATTACCCCCAAAAAGAAGGAACTGTGACTACGAAGGATTCGAATTCTATACCTACAATAAACTTTTGGACTATATAACCACTGAACCAATATAACATTTAGAAAAATATGGCCCTGAAATTTAGTTTATATTCGGTGGCCTAAAACTTGTGCTTTAGTTGCTTTATGACAGGGCCGGGCCTGAATTTCCAGTTATCACACTTGATTTTCCGGTTTACACTAACCATTCTTCTATACCAATATTAATCGTACTTGTTAAATGAATCATTTTGTTTGGATAGTATTAATCGGAATGAATCAATTTGTTCGGAGACCAACAACGCAGCTAAACAACTCCGTTACTCCATCAAAATCACATGGATTAGTGTAACCCGGTCTTGCCCCATTAAAATCACATGGATTAGTCTAACCGGGTCCTGGCCCATTACCTTGTCAATTGATCCGATCGACCCGACCCGACTTTCAAGTAGTTAGAAAATGTGTAGCTTCTTCGTCTTCTTCTCCGTTACTACGAAAAAAAAAAACCCAAAACCCAAAAAATCAACAAAAATGGAGATTCTCCGCAAATTCAAATTTACCGGGAGATCCAAGTCTCCGATCTTTGCTTTCACAATCACCGGCCTAGCTCTAACTGCCGTCACTAGCAGCGCCGCCGCCGTCTCTATTTTCCGAGACTCACCTTCCAATAAATTCGCGACGGCGGTAGAAGGCGTAGTCCGTTCTTCTCGCGCTATCTACTCCGTTCGTATCTTCCTTATCTATATCTGTTTCACCATTTCCTCTTTCCAAATCATTCATTCGATCTCTTGTTCTCTACTTGTAGATCACTCTCACTGTCGCCGATTACAAGTATAGCTTGCGTAGATTACCAGCAGATTCCGATGAGTATCTTCAGAGATTAACAGAGGTGTTAAATTCATAAACGATACTGCTTCGAAGTTTTGGTGGTCAAATTTTACATCGTGTTAAGTTTTGTTTCAAGGAATTGTTGTTATCAATGGCTTTAGGAGTTTAGTTATCCACAAAAGTTAGGTCAATTTGCTTGTAGTTGACATTACGTTCTGATCGAATTATTTGTGACCGGGGAAGGCAAGTTATTAGAGTAGTGATATGATTGATTGTTGCGATTTTCAGTTTACTTCACTAGTTGTATACTATGTCATATGGTGACACTCGGTCATTTTGATTGTGTAGGTTCATTCACGGTCTGCTAAACGAATTCTTAAACTTTGTGAAAGTAATAAAGGTTTTTATGTGAAAGCTGGTCAGTTTGTGGCTACGTTGAAGTTGGTTCCGAAAGAGTACTCTTTGGCTCTTTCGTCGTTGCAAGACAAGGTAAGAATACTTTTATAATTAAGTCCTTAAACATTTTCTGTCTTTGTTACAGTCTGAAGAAAGGATTCTAATTGTTTGTTCTGTTTCTAATTTGTTTTATCTTGTAAAATCATTGAAGGCAGTTCCTTGTAATTTTCAAGAAATAAAGCACGTTCTGACAAGTAATTTGGGTCAAAATCTCACAGAGATGTAAGTCTTTTAGAGTTATTCCAAAATCATCTATGTATCAAGTTAAATGTCAGATTTTGTTTCTTTTCTTGACGTCTGTTTTTGAAAGAGGTTTTAACATTGCTATTAGTTAAAATGTCAGATTTTTATCTTTTGATGAGGAACCAATTGCGGCAGCATCTATTGCTCAAGTACATCATGCTGTATTGAAGAATCACCAGGAAGTAGCAGTAAAGGTTAACTCTTAATAACGATAACTGTTTTACTTTGCTATGTTCTTTCTGCAACAACTGGAAGAATCACCATGTTTTCATTTTTGGTGTTAAAATAGGTGCAATACCCTGGATTGAAGCAGAACATGAAGTTAGATACAATGATCATGTCGTTCCTTTCAAAATCAGTGGCAAAGGTGCATTTATTTTCTTGTTACCTTATATCTATACCAGAACATGAAGTTCGATTGTAACAAAATATGTTTTCTTACAAGCTGTTTATAAAATATGAAACGAAAGAATAGACATCTGACGTCATATAACTAACTGATCTAGGATACTGGAATTTGATGGGAATAGGATTTTTTGATGATAAAATATTTGAGGCTTTAGATTTGGAGTTCGGAAAATATTTCCAGTGTGCTGCATTAGTTTATGCTGCCTTGCGAAAAGCTTGGGCATGGTCAGATTACGAGGACTTCGTTATTTTACTTCCTTCTAATTTCATTAGTTTTGCCGGTGATTGTGACCTAAGCTTGTGTTGTTGTGGAAGGTGTTAATTGAGATTGATGATGCAATTACATGAACTGTCTGTGCATCTCTGATTCATATATTTATAGGCTGCATATCGTATGCAGCCGCGTATTGTTTCTTAGAGTTCTTTCTTCCTTTTCCACTTCGCAGATATTTCCAGAATACAGATTTGATTGGCTAGTTTATGAATTCGTAAAGTCAATTTCCCAGGAACTTGGTCAGTAAACTAAAACTTCAGAACCAAGCACTGCATTATGCGCATGTGTTTGTGTTTTAATCTTCAAATGTTGAAAATGTCAAGATCAGTGAGGCCTATATGTACACAATACGTGTTGTAGAATATTCATTACATTCTTTCTCTGGAGTTTTGTATAGTGAATCTGATGATTTCATTTCTGCTTTAATTTTCTTGTCCACAGATTTTATACAGGAGGCAAAAAATTCAGAGAGAATTGCCAAAAACTTCAAACATAACAAAATGATTACAATTCCTACGGTGTTTTGGGTATGACTTGAGAATTTTCATAACTATACCAGTATCATTGATTGCTTGGTGTCAGCATTTTGTTTTCTTAATATCGTCATCCATATTAATATTCAGGAGTTCACAACTACTCAAGTCCTGACAATGCAGTTTTGCAAGGGTTTCAAGGTAATGATGTTCAACACAGTTAGTCAATTATACAGTTTATCTGTAATCCTAGATCTGAATTATTCGTTATTCCGTTAGAAGAAATAAGTGAAGAATGAAGTCTGAAGCATTCTCTAACAATTTTATTCCTTAAAAAAAGTTAGAATGAGATTGGTATTCAAAGCTTTATAGCTAAAAGGCTGAAAAACGGAAAAATCATAAATTTCTTAAAAGAATTACAGTGTTGGAAAAAGAATGTTGGAATTTGGTTATAACGCCTAGAAAGCACTTGATCATTTCAGATATTTAACTCGTGTAGTAATAAAAAAATAGAATCTCATGAAGTTTTATGCAATAAATACTTGACATACAGTATCTGTGATTAATTCAAAACGCAATATATTTTGATTTTCCCTTTGCTATAGATTTGAATCTGGGATAAATTTTCCGAACCCGAGACCTCTTTGAGTTTCATTTGTGGTTTACTCGTATAACTTAAAACGTTATGTTTTATATTCTTAGAGATCCTCATGCAGCTTCTCGTGCATACTATAATTCTTGTATGTTCAACCAACTCAAATTTCCCTAGGTTTCAGGTTGATGATGTGGAATCCCTCAAAAGCTCTAATGTAAGTCCACAAAAGGTTGGTAACGACTTCTTTTGCATAAGTTATGAAATGCAGCTTTGGTCTGTAGCGAGCATTTGACCTGTCAAATATAAGCTTATGATTGTCGAAGCATTGAAGTTTTTCCCAAATTACAATAGGTTGCTAAAGTATTGGTTGAAGTGTTTGCTGAAATGATATTTGTTCACGGGTTCATACATGGCGATCCGCATCCTGGAAATATACTAGTTTCTCCTGAAGGCCAGAATGGCTTCTCTCTAGGTACTTTGTGTTCGTAATTCTATTATGACCTCTCACTGTTTCCAGATTATAATCCTAGAACTTTTAATCTTCTTGAAAATTACCTTTGGATGAAAAGTTCTGCTAGACCACGGGAACTGTAAAACATTGGATGAAGGATTTAGGCGGGACTTTTGTCGGTTGTGGGAGGCTTTAATTCTTCTTGATTCGAACAAGATACAAGAATTAGGTAAACAGTTTGGAGTTGGAAAATATGCCAAATTCTTCCCCGTCATTTTTACCGGAAGAACTAGTGACAGGTATATATGCGCACTTTCTCTCCAGCATTGTTTGTAGTAAAACTGAAATAGTAGACTAGACTTTGTTGATCCTGAAGATAAAGTATGAAAATAAGACCGTAGAGACAACGATGCATATTTTGGGTGTCGTTTACATTGTTACATGCAAAAGGACTTATTCTTGTTCCTGCCTCTTCTTGGTTATAGCAAATCAGGACTGGGAAAAGGAATGTCTATACAAGAGAGGCAAAAACTGAAACAAGAGCTCAAGCTTCTGAGATTGGAAGATGTAACAACTTTCATGGGGTCTCTTCCACCTGACTTTCTAACCGTACTGCGAACAGAGTACAATCCTCGATCCTCGGTTATTTAGTAATTGAATCTGGAAATAATTTTATTTATGACCTCCTTGTTTTGATCGATCTCAGTGGACTCATACGTTCAATCACTCTGAAGTTAGGTGCTCCACAACGGGTGAGACTACTAGCTTATGCGAAATATGCGGTATACGGGCTTGGCTACAAACCAACTTCTGAACTAGGTAACTTTGTTTGAGAATTATTTAAAGTTTGATCTTCGATAATTTATTCAAACATGTATTCAATTTTATCAAGGATGAAGCTATATATTTTGGTTTTGTTCTTTCCAGATTTTGTTGAGAAGTCGATAATCTCCAGATCTGTAATGATAATGAGTTACCTTCGGTTACGTTTTATTCTGGGTAAGAAACTACTATCCAAATGATCAAATTTTCTATGTAAGTTTCAATTTTTTTTTTTTGGTTTCAGAATTGATGGAACTCTTTCAAGGAATGAAGAAGCTAAAACATACCATCTACGGTTTCTATGGGCAACTCGTTGGCGGTATCACAAATAGTGTAAAGCGAATTACATGCAGCGTATGAAATTATTATTATGATGTCGAAATTGGTTTAAAAGTGTCTCTGAAATATTTATTTATTTGGACGGATATAAGTGAATCGACTCTTTGGCATTTGATGTTGTCACAGATAATCAGAACTAGGAAGTTAAGAACCCATATAATTTGTGGGTTTGGTATTTTATTTTATCCCTAAATTTGTCCCACATGAATTATTAACATGTTCCCAAGATCCAAGTAATGAATACATAGAAAATATCTTTGAAGATGGAGGAAATGAAATGATCGAGTTAGATTTGAGGAAGACGTGAAAGGCTGAAACCAATGACTTTCTCGGTACAACAAACTTTAATCAAAGAAAAACCAAGAACCGACCTGACCACATCGGTTACTCTTGGTTTAAACCGAGAATTGAAGAATAAATAACTCTAGTTGCATTGGAAGGTTTTCGGAAGGTAATAAATATCAATATTAAAATTTATTTTTCATATATAAAATTGTAGAGCTCTAAATTTTATTTTATTCAAAGATTCATTTCCATATATACTTTATTATTTTGTTGACTAACTAATGTAAATCTTTTTCTTTTTCTAAAACAGTTAAATTGGACAAGAACTAACTTTGATAGAAGTCATAGAACTTAATCTATTTAAAATTATGTTTATATATTTATTAAATTTCTGTATTTCTGTATTTCCTTATATATATATATATATATATAAATCTTAATATTTCAAAAAAAAATCGAAATTTAAATCTTAATTTTACAAAATTTTCTCTTTCTACTTGGTTTTGTAACTATTTTGTATTTTATTATTTTTATTGAAAATATTTCATTTCCTTTAGACTAAATTACTTCTGAATTTTTTTAAATGAAATATTATAAATAACCAACAAATTCTTAGAATTTATTTATTGAAAAATATTTTCATTTTTCACATTTTTTCTTGACTACCGAAATCATGTCATATGTTTTCTTCCAAGAAAGTTAAAGTTGATATATATAATGTTTTGTTAAAACTATATTTTATTATTTATTGTTTAGTACCTTTTTGTTTAAGTAAAAAATCTTTTATTGCTTCGTAATAAAAGCAAATTCTGAATTTCCTTTTAGAAAATGTTTCCCAAATTATTTTATTCCAATTATGTTAAACTGGATTTACTTGAGAATTATTTTCTGTATTTACTTCCAAAAAAAGAGTCATGTTGTGGACTAATTTCATTTTGTTTTTCGTTTTATATATGCTCTCAACACGTTAGGTGTCGTATTTTTCATAACCAAACTAACTAAGATTCATGAGTAAAGTGATATTTTCTCCTTCCCATTTCTTCTCTTTATCGAATCCACAATCAATTGAGACGAAGAATGTGAGGGAAATCAAACTCACTAGATATCTCAACAAATTGTTGAGTGAATATAAGTATGTAATTATCTCCTTTTGTATATGTATGTAATCATCTCCTTTTTTCAATTTTATATATTGATATTGGGTGGGTGTGAATCTTTACAAATATAGATTTGCGTTTGAATTGATTTTTCTTTTGCATCGTTGGTGCTTGGGAGTTCCTCGCATTGCTCTTACTTTTTTATAAAAATAAGAGTATTCAATATATTTTTTTATTTTATTTTTAATATTCAAATATTTACTAACCATAACTATACTTGGATTTAGGGATTTGTAAAAAGAGCCAAAGGATCTCATGTAACTTTCAGATTTTGAGCTATGAATCTAATGTAAGTACTTTATCACTTTGATTTGCTATTTTATTGATGCTTGATTAAAGTTTAAATACCTTTGTAATTAAAGAAGTAAGTTCTGCTTTTTTTTTTTTTTTTATATATATGATTTCGTTAGGTTGTGAAATTTAAAAGCATGATTTAACATTTTTTTAGTTGTTTGATTTCTTTCTCTATGAGAAATTAAAACATAATCCATCTATATATAATATATAGTTTTCTTAAAATTTCTATTGTAATATTGGGTGCGTGAATTTATAAAATATTTATTTGTTTGAGATTCGATTTTATTATACCTTACTTTTGGCATCGCTATTGGGTTCCTCCCATCGTTCATATTACAAAATAATATAATAAGATATATTTATTAATAATTCAAATTTGATTTTTGATTAGTTTTCTAATTTAGAGGATAAATATGTACGTCCGAAAAATTAGATTTATAGATCCAAGCTGTGTGATTCCAAGGGTTTGTATATCAAGAAGGTAAAAAAAATTCAATTTAATTTATCTAAATTTCATATAAAACCTCTATTAAGAAAAATTGTTCTAGAAATTTATCGTCTTTAGGGATGGGACAATAATCTGATAATCGATCCAATCTAATATGAAAGGTAAAATATATATATAAAAAAGTTCATTTTATTAAGCTTTAAATACTAGTTCTCTATATGAATCCAAAAGTTTTAATTTTAAGGTTAGTAAATCTAAATCTGACTTTAATTATACCACAACAGCATCAAAAGATGAAGATAAAGCACCAAACGATCCTACAAACGCAATGTTTTCTTGAACATGTAAGAAAGGTTGATGGTTACCTGGTTGGATCTCAACAGAAACCATCCGAGAAACCGAAGGTGGATCTATCCTTGCCTGTTTAGTTTTACGACAACTTCCACTAATTGATACATTCCTTAAAGCCCCACCATCAGTCTAATATCTACGACAATTCTTGCAAAAATAGCACGGTTGAGTCTCACTGTAGTTGTTGTAGTAACAAAACAGTGTTGTTAGAATCACATTTTGACAACACTAAGTTTTGTTATTACATAAACTACTGTAAAACTTACTTGTGCCACTTGTGCAAGAACTGTCGCAGATGCTGAACTCATGGTGGGTTTTAAGGAACGTCCTAATTTGTGGAAGTTGTCGTAAACCAAGCGGACAAGAGTAGATCAACCTTTGGTTTCTCGGATGGTTTATGTTGAGATCTAACTAGGTAACTATCAACCTTTCTTATATATTCAAGATAACATTAAGTTTATAAGATCGTTTGGTGCTTTAATTTGAAGGTTAGTAAAGTTAAATCTTAGATACTTTGTGGTATCTTAGAAAAAATGTGTGGTATTTTTTAGAATAACCATAAATATTTAAATTTTTTGTAAAATGGTAAATAAATTTTTTTTGAAAATCAAAGTCATTTTAGAATATATTTTTTTGAAATTTATATTATTATTTAACTATTTAAACTATTTTCTAATATTATATTACTCAGATAAAAATATTTATTATTAGTTTCATTAAAATACTATATAATAGTAATACTAGGAAATTAACCGGCCCAAAAGTACGGAAATCGAACCAAACCTAAAATTTAAAATACTCAAATGGATCCTACACTTTAGAACCGAAAGAACCATAACAAAACCGGTACCGAACCGAAAATACCCGAAATACGGAAGGACACACACAAATATTAGTGAGTTTTAGATACACTATTCGAAATATCTGAAATATCAAAAAATATTCAGAAAAATATCCAAAATACCAGAACATACCAAAAATAAAACCCAAAAATACCCAAAAAAGTGAATGGATTTGAAAGTGCAAAACCGAAAAAACCTGACCGAACCGAATATAACAAAACTCTGAACCGACCCAAATAGCCAACCCCACCTAACAGATAAAAGACTGAGGAACTGAGACATTCAAATTTTTACCAAATTTCTTCAGTTTCTTAAGCTTTGATGCTAGTCTTGCTTTGAGCTCATCAACGACTACATCGATGAAATTCTCTGTGTTCATGAAGTGTGAAAGCCTGGAAAACCCGATAACAAACAAACGTAAATCTTAGTAATCTTGATTAGAACTTGGACTTAAAGGCAATAATTGAAATTGTTGAAATATACCATGAGCCGTGAATGATGAGTGCAATATCTTTGGTCATTTTCCCTGACTCCACTGTCCCAACACAAGCGGCTTCAAGCTTTTCGGTGAACTCCAAAAGTTTTGTGTTGTCATCTAACCTAGCCCTGATTTGAAGCCATGTACACATAAGAATTATTCAAGCGTCACACGTGTATTTATGTGATCAATTGGGCATAAAGTAGTTATATGGGGCATAAGTGTTATGAAAAATTAATGTGTGAATAAACCTATTAATTCCTAATTCGATGAGGAGCCGAATTATGAATTATCTCTATATAAATAGAGAGGTATGGTCCTCAAGACAATCCTAACCAGAATTAAATACACTATTTGCATCCCATCATCAAATACCTAAAGCTATTTAGGATTTGCTTTGTAAGACTTAATCCCAAATTCAAAACCTAAGCTATGGATTCATCAAGTACGTTTCCTCTTATGTTAATAATCATCATAAACTAGCATGGATTTATGGTTTATGGAATTATAAAAAGCTTTCAATTGGAAGTAGAGCTCCATGTTTAGTTTCTGTTTGATAATCAGTTTAATAAAAATAAATTTAGATTTATTAATTTGTTGAAAATTTTAGATTAGAAAGTCTGTTTTTCCTGAAAGGTTCAGGTTTATATAAAGTATTATAGAATATATGGATTAAGTTTTGATGTTAGGTCTTAAGGATATGCATGTTTAGATCTAGTGTAGTAATTATTCTAGAGAAAAAAAACATTTGTAGATTTTAGATCTGAAATTAAGATCTTCAGATTCTCCTCATACTGTTATAATTTTTGAAATTTAGGAAATTTTTCGAAAACTTTTGAACATAATTTTTAGATCTGATCGGCCTCGATGGCTGGCTTCATAAAATTCTTATATATTTATATGTAAATAACGTCACTTAGAGGAGTCGAACCCTACACGGGCACACGTTATCGAGTCTTTTCCTTTCTTCTTCAACCAAATAATTTCCTTCCTTCTACAATCATTTTGGGAGATATGATTTTCTTGCACAAAGAGCCCCAGACTACTAGATATATATCTGAATATTTATCTTGAATGCATGTTTTAAATTAATGTTTAAATTTTGATTGTACAAGTTTAATATTTAAAGTAGATTTATTGAAGCAAGACTTTTACCAAAGTGACCTCTCTTGTGGATTTTTTCTATGGAAAGTATGTGTATGTATATTCATGCGAATATTAAGTCGACCCGAATGTAAGTTTATATTTGGCTGAATTGCATGCCTAACTGTAATGATAATCATGTGATAATTATTACAAATAAACATGTGAATGATACATCAATTTCCAAAGATA